AGACCCCACGCCTTTCCAGGTACCCCTAGCGCTGGGACTTTTTTGGAAGCCTTCACCGGGGCCACCCACGGGCCTCTGCCAGCTCTTCATGGACTTGAGTGCCTGGGAGCAAGCAACACATACTTTAGAGCCAGTTTGAGAGGAGAGAAAGGGGCCCAGGTGCCTGGGGGCTTCAGCCTGCTATGGATCTCCATTTCTTTTGGAGACCCCCAAAACAAATAGGGGGACCCCTCTAGAAAGACGACCCAGTTCTGGCAGCTTCACATTTCCAAGATTGGCTCACAGAGAGCAGAACACATTATAGTCTCCCTCCTTCCCATTCAGGCCCCAAGAGCGTGGAGCTTACCTTTGCAAGCCTCCAACCCCTGCGCAGGGTTGGACCAGCCCAAGCCCCTGCCGCCCACCGATCGGTGGAGTGTGGTGGGGCGAACCCTTCCCCTAAACGCCTCATAAACTGCTCAGGCCCCGCTGGAAGCCCAGGCGCCGGGTCAGTATGCCTTTTACTGCTCAGCTCGATTGCACACCATAAACCCGACCTCACAATGGAATTGCCCCGGAAATTCTCCTCTAAATTATAGAGTTTGGTTCCTTGTGTACAAAGCACTTCCCATCACTTTCAGAGAGTCCAGGCCGCCCCCGTTCACTGCACCCTCTCAGGGGGTCCCAGGAGCACAAAAGGCAGCAAGAGGGTTCAGACCCGGACGCCACGGAGCCCCAGTTCCTGTCTAGTGGACTGCCCAGGGGCGTGGGTGGAGAGCGGGGGGCTGTCCGGGCAGGTGGGCGCCTGCTGGTTTCCCCTGGGGGTACAGGGGCTGTGGGGGGGGCAATATCCGGGGATGCTCTTTATGGAGGATCAGGAAGATAGTATGTCTTAGTTGGGGAAGGGAGGCTGTAACATGGGAAGGGAAGAAAAACTAAATATTCCAAATAGCATCGCTTTCTTGCAGGAAATAAAAACCTAAAAATGTTAAAGGAAGACGAAGCAAGCAAGAAAGCTAGGAGATCAAAGAGGCGGAATTAGACAGCTTTAGACCAATAAATTGTTCCCCGGGTGACACAGAGCAAGATGCAAAGAGAAAGGCCCGGCCCCGCCGCCGCCGCCGTCTGTCTAGACTCGGGCGGCTGGAGCGGCCAACAGCGATGGCGCTTAAAGTAAAATCTGCCCCGAAGTGAGACGACCCAGACCAAGTAGGGACAGAGTTCGGGGAGCAGGGGAGCGCGGGAAGGAACGCCACAGGCTCATCCCTGCTTGGGTTTTGTCCAGCGCAGGTCCACACGGTCCTGGCAGGGCGCGCTGCCCCTCCGCTTGGGCCAAGGATAATCCAGATACTGCCGGCAAGGCCTCAGCCTTTCTGGACCCACGTCAGCCAACTGGGCCGAGTCTCGCGGGTGCCGAATCCTTTCTTTCGTTTCTGGGCTTCTCTCTTTCCTCGTGCCTTCGGTGGCGGGGTTTTAAAACGAAAAGGCCAGACAGAGTCAGGCTTTCAGTAAGGCCTCCTTAATCGCGTCTTCTTGAGCCATTGGTTTCCTACTTATTTGGCTGAAAAGACACAAATGCACTGGGTGATATGTGATAATATTCACAGAAATACTCGTTGACGATCAGCCTGGAGCAGGCACGTGCAGGCGGGTTTCTAATCAGCCGAGCTGTCTTTACATAAAGACATTTTTCTCACCGCTCTTCTGGAGCTGGGTTTCTACCTACCAAGCAGAATGTGTTTCCCTTGCTTCTTGTTACCAAATAGTGCTCAATATTTAAACCCAGCTAAGAACATAAGCCCAGCTCTGGGCAAGCGAAGGGAGCCTGCCTCGAGTCTGGCGGCTGGCGATTTGCTTCTCTAAACGTTTCCACCCGCGCCCCTCGCACGGGCTGCGCACGGTGCGGTTCTTCAGTCACTGAGCAGTCCGCAGTCCCCGGTCGCGGCGCGGGGACACATCCGTGCCCGACGAGTGCAAAGGAGCTGGGGCTGACGCGGGGTAGGGGGGTTGTCTGCGCAGCTAACAGGGAAGCGCTTCCCAGGCAGCCGAGCCAGGAGAGCCGTCTCCCAGCCATCGCCGGCCAAGGGCAAGGGAGGCCTGGCGTGGCACTCAGTCCAGGAAGCCTCTGAGATCCCAACCAGCCGGCACCTACCTGGAACCTCCGTAATCGGTGGAGAGAAGCGGTCGCCACCGATCTGCTCCCGCGCCATTTATTTGTAGTTACATAAATTGAGCTTTCTATCTGCAGCTTGGATACATGACCACGGGCGGCTCTCGGGGAAGCTATAAAACCCTTCTTACAATCAGATGCTGTGAAATACTGTGTTATTTAAGGAAATATAATGAAGACGTGTGTCTGCAATACCAACATGTGTATATAAACAGAGAAAGAGGGAGGAGAGGGAAGGAAAGGGAGGGAGGAGAAAGAGAGAGAGAGAGAGAAAGAGAGAAACACTCAGGAGATCTGTCAGCCAAGATCCAGTTCCCAGTTTTACAGCGTGTACAGCGCAGAGACGCAGGTTGTAAACATTTTGTGGGCTTGGCAGACACTATTACAACCCAAATAAATACACTGCGTGGCGTGTTCACAGGGCTCCGGGGTGCTTCCAAGGGTTCTGTTTGCTTTGGGTTTTCCCTCTGAAACCATTCTGCACCAGGGGTTGATCCTCGCACCCGCGCTCGTGGCCGCCTCCTGGAAGGTTCCGGGGCGTGTTCCCCGCCCAGGGTCCAGGATAGGCTGGGCCTAGATTGGGGTCCCCTCCCTCCTCCTCGCCTCCTGAACACGGGAAACCAGAGCAGCCTGAGCAGCTCCACTGCCAAGGAAATTCGGTGGCGAGAGAAAGCAAGGGCAGCTTTCACGACGTGAACTCCTATCCTGGAGCTAGGATGTTATTATAATTATTTTAAACACCGCATTTATTTTGGAACAATCAAAGCAGTCCCTGGTGAGCTCCCAGGGATTCCCCATCCCGGGCAATTCAGCCGGCAAACCCACACTAGAAAGTCACCAAGAATGCCTTCTCCTCCGATTTTCAGCCGCCTAATTTTATTGACACTTATTCGAGGCGGCCGGGTGCTGGGGTCCCGGCTCTCCTGCGGGTGCTGGCTCACCGGGCCTCCTACCGGAGCGCAGCGTTAGGGAGCCTCCCCGGCTGCCGCAGGAGCCTTGGCCAAGGTATGCGTCCTCTGCATACCCTCTGGGGGGGTCACCAAGTCCCGGGGCTGTAGGCCTTAGTCCTGGTTTGTCCGCTGGGTCAAACCGAGTTCTCCGAGCGTCGCGCTGCCCCAAGGCTTGTCCCGGCCTGGGGACGGTGACCCTAGAGCCACCCCCGCGCCTGGAGCTGCCTCCCCGCAGCCGCCGGACGGCTGCAGCCACGCAGCGCTAGGCCTCCGGAATCAGGGAGAGGAAAGGGGGCGGGAGTGGTGCAGGTCGGGCGAGTCCCACCGCTAGCTTGTTTCCCGGCGAGGTTTCCGGGCCGGCGTGAGCAGCAAAGAAAATATACGACCGCAGTTCTTTCAAATCTGGGGCTCCCATTCGAGAAAGGCTAGCGTCAAGTCGACATCTTAGGAACTTCCCAGGGTTGCGGCGGCGGGAGATGGCGGCGCGGGCGCCTCATGCGTGGAGCCATACTGCCATCAAGCGGAATACACGGCTTCCTTCAGGTAGACCCGTCTGGGCAGGGTATGGAGTCAGTTGGCATTCGTGGAGCCATACTGCCATCTGCTGGCAGAATCCCTGCACTGCAGCCCCGGCAGCCCGGTCTGAACTTCGTCTGCCGCGCCCGCCCCGCTCCCAAAGCTGGGCGAGGGCCCAGTCCCTGGCGGGGCGGGTGTGCGTGCAGCCCGGAATCTACGCTGCCGAGAGCGCAGTGCCCATAAAAGAGTTGTTTCCGCAGCCGCTTTATCGGTGCAGACAGAGCAAACAAATGAAAGGGCTTTGGTCGAAAATCTTAATTGGGGCTGGACAGTTGTAAACTCATTAAGGGCCGAATTCCAGACAGTTCGCAGACCCGGCCTTTATGGCACACCCTTACTGCCCATTCTTTGAAGTTCCTTCTGTCTGCAACAACAGAGGGCGTCCCAACCTGGCGGCGGGGTGGGGGTGGGGGTGTGAGGGGAAGACCCATCCCCCCCGGCGTCCCGGTTCCCCCTTTAGGCGTCGGAACTCAGATAACTTTCCAGCAGTTTCGGGGTAGTGGGGGGGGAGGGCGGGGAGAGCGAGAAAAGAAAAGGGGGGAGATTATGCTGAACCCTCTGGCCACATCTCTAAGGCGCTTGGGCCTCCGATGTTGTGGCTGTTCCCCCCGCAGCCCTTTACACCCCATAAACGGCAACAGCCCTCATTTGCTTTTATGGCGCGTCCCGCTCGCCGGCTGCCTAGGCCCTGCTTCTGCCAGGACTTGTGCTCGGGAGGGGAGTGCCGTACAGAACCCCGAATCCCCCGGGCCAGCCGGACAGGACGCTGAGGTGCGGGGAGGTGGGGGGGCGCGCAAGAATTCCGTCCCCTGAGAGTCCGCAAATGTCTGTCCTGGAGGCCGCGTCGGGGCAGCCGGGCTCCTCTTTCCCTCCCTGGAGACTCTTCAGGAGGCAGGCCCTTCAGCCCGCGGTGCTGCCCTCACACTCCTCGCCCCGCGCCAGGGGAAGGCCTCGGGAGTCTCAGTGCACCCGGGTTAGGGAAATTTCTTGGGGCGCCAAGATGGAAGGGTGGCCTTTCACTGCTACTGGCCAACGAGACCCGAGACCCCAGCCCTGCTCCTCAGAGGCCTCTGGGCCTGCCCGCAAGTGGGGCAGGTCGGAGCTGGGAGCTAGGCCTCGCCGCCCTCCTTGTGCAGCCTTGCTCTGGTGCTTGCGCCGCCAGCGGGAGCGCAGCTGGGTGCGGCAGGTTCCCGCTCCAAAAGCCCGCCGCTGGAGGTGAAACTGAGATTCTGTCCTCCTGCACCCCGGCCCGGCCCCCACCCAGAGACTCTACCCATGCTCCCCTATCCCAGAGAAAAAGGTGCAAAGAGCTGACCCGCAATAAATAGAAAAGAATCAATATATTTTATTTGGCAAAAAGTTAAATATCATCTCAACACAACAATTTGGTCAGTAGGCCTTGAGGTAACTATTGCAAAATATACAGTGTATGTTCAGCCCGATGGAAACCCCAGATTCATCAAGGATACAAATCTACAGTAGCCCAATGGCGGTTTCATAGTGTATAATTTATTATCAATAAAATTAACTCCATTACAATAAGCATTCATTCCCCCCCCCGATTAAAATTAAATGTAAACGATAGGTAGTAATCTTCTGCACATATGTATAGCTCCGAATTTCCTCAATGTTCATCCGGTGCAAAAACAATATTCAAGCTTGTCTGATTATTTTTTAATATGTGGATTATATATACAATGAACAAGACAGGTCTATAGAGCATGTAGAGACTAAAATGCCCGCATTTCAAAAGAGGAAAAAACCATGAATCTATGCATCCAGGAGAACACTTTCTTTCTTTCTTTTAAAATTTTATTTCACTGGGAAATCCTTACAGCTAGTTTACAGTCAAAGGCGAACAGCCTAGTCATACAGAAGACAGATTCTACTACAGAGCTATACTCTAGGCAACTGTTTTTCTCCCTCATCAACAACCTGAGTTGAAATTGAATTCTAAGCTCTCACAATCACAACGGGTGCGTCACCCAGCACAGAAGTTTGAGTCACAAAACATAATTACCACAATAAAACACAGCGTTCAAGTATCTGGGCAGATCGCTCTGCCGCACAAAGAGCAAATTAAATTAACTACACAGACTAAAAACTATACAGCCCGCCATCAACAGTTGTGCATTATAAAAAGGTAGTTTTTTTTGTTTGTTTGTTTGAAGTCAGGAACAGGTAGATTTTTTAAAAAAAATATATACAAGCTAGCACACACAGCCATCAGCGAAAATGTCCCCCACCTTTTTTTTTTTTTTTCATCTTATAGAAAATGGAAAGCTTACAATACCTCCTCCATCAAAGCGGCAGGCCGGAGGTGGGGGGGGGGCCAGCCTGAGCAGGGCTTGCTTGGGGGGGGGGAAGATGAGGCCCGGAGTTTAGAGCCGCTTTGTGCGGGGTGGTGGAGGCTGGGGTGGGAATAGGGGTGGGAGAGGGATCAGGCAGTCCTTTCTCTTTCTCTCTAGCTCGCTCTCTCTTTTCTAAATGAACTCCAATTGAATCACTCGTCTTTTGCTCGGTCCTTGTTGATTTTCTTCATTTTCATCCTGCGGTTCTGGAACCAGATCTTGACCTGCCTCTCGGTGAGGTTGAGCAGCCGGGCCACCTCGTACCTGCGGTCCCTGGTGAGGTACATGTTGAACAGAAACTCCTTCTCCAGTTCCAGCGTTTGGTGTTTTGTGTAGGGGCAGCGCTTCTTCCTCGTGGAGCGTGCGTGCAGCCAGTTGGCAGCTGGGTTGCCTGCGAGGGAGACAGACGGGGGATTTAGCAAGAGGAGAAGCACCTACCTCCCCCCTCCACTGCGGCCAGGGAATCTCCTGGGGTCTTCCGCCAAAGTGCAGGGCGCTGCTGAACTGGTTGGGGAAGCGCTGCGAACCGTACACAAAGGCATCCCCGCAGACAGACAGAGGAACAGTCACTTACAATCGCACACAGGAAAACCTCGGCTTCCCCCTCCCTTCCCAGACCCTCCTTTCTCCTCTTCTGTCCTCAGGTCCTTTTCCTCTCCTTCCTCCCGCCCTTTGCACACTGTGCAAGGAGTGAAATTTGGAAATAGATCCTCTTCTTGCCAGGCAGCGGGAAAGCACGCTGCCCTGTGTTCCTGCAACGTTAATATTTTCTCCCTCTCTCTCTCTCTCTCTCCTCCCTTCCACACCTTTCCTTCTACTTTCCCCATTCCGTCTTTGACCTCCCTGGAAGGCCGTGGGAGCCGGGCAGCCGGCAAGGCGCCCCTGAGCAACCCCGGGGCGTCGATCACGTCTCCAGTTTATTTGAATAATCTGGCACGGGGACCACCGTGGCCCGGTCGCCTACAGCCTCATCCTGGGCAGGATTTACGCCGCCACTGGCTGAAGGCAAGAAGTGGAGGGGATCGGCTGTCTTCTCCAGGGTCTAGGCTACAGTTGCGGCCGCCGCTCCAGGACAATCTAGCCGCACAAAAGATTCTCTCTGCCGAGCTGCTTTCGAAGAACGGCCCAAAGTGCTGTCCTGGTACCGAGAAGCCAGGGAGAGGGGCTGCTGGTCTTGGCTTGGCCGGCAGCGCCCGCCCCGCCCCCCCTCTCTCGGCAGCAGCCGCCTCCCCTCCCCCCGAACGCGGCAGCCAGCTTGTCACTGCTCTCTGGAATTGGGGCCCCATCTGAGGCATCCTAAACAGCAACTTCTGGTTCCCGGCCCCTGCTCAAGAGGCTCCCAGCGCAGGCGAAGGCAGGCTCGAGAGAAAGCTGAAGGGCTGGCAGATCCTGGTGGCCGGCGTGGAGGCGGCGGCCGGTCTGAAGGGAGGAGACACTTACTGGGATCGATGGGGGGCTTGTCTCCGCCGCTCTCATTCTCAGCATTGTTTTCGGAGAAGGCGCCTTCACTGGGCTGTTTTTCTCTATCAACTGGAGGAGAACCACAAGCATAGTCAGTCAGGGACAAAGTGTGAGTGTCAAGCGTGGGACAGTCACCCCTTCTGGCGGACAGTGGTTCAGGTTTAATGCCGTAAGGCCGGCTGGAGGGCAAGCCCGCGAAGGAGAGCGCGCCGGGCGTGGGCTCCAGCCAGGAGCGCATGTACCTGCCGTCCGGGGCCGCCGCCGCCACGGGCGCCTGGGGGTGCACGTAAGGGTGGTGGTGATGGTGGTGATACACTGCGGCGGGCACCGCATTGGCGCCCGCCGCGTGCACCGGGTTCCACGAGGCGCCGAACACCGCCGCCTTGGACTGAAAGCTGCACGGGCTGAAGTCGGGGTGTTCTGCCAGCGCGGTGGCCTGCCGGGGAGGCTGACCCAGGGCCCCGGGCGCGTAGCGGCCCGCGCCCAGCTCGTCCGCAGCGTCGGCGCCCAGCAGGAACGAGTCCACGTAGTAGTTGCCCAGGGCCCCGGTGGTGGCCATCTCTGTGCCCTGTGCCTGGCCGGTCGGCCCGACCCGCGGAAATTATGAAACTGCAGATTTCATGTAACAACTTGGTGGCACCAGGGGGGGAAGTACAGTCACCTAATAAGTTGCCGGCGCCCGCGCCCCCATTGGCCGCGCGCGTCACGTGCCCGCCCGACAGAACAATAACGCGTAAATCACTCCGCACGCTATTAATGGCCCGGTGTTTTGCAGTCATAATTTTTATAGCAAAAGCCATATGTTTTTATGCAAAGGGATCGCGGCGCTCCACGATCGGGTTTGTTTTAATTGTGGCCAACGAAGATTAAAAGATCAAATCTGGCCTTGCCTCTGTACTCCCTCCCCTCCCACCGCCACCACCAGACGCACACTTCTTAAGCGGACTATTTTATATCACAATTAATCACGCCATCAGCAAGGCGCGGGTCCCGCGTGCAAGTGCGGCCAGTGGAGCCCCTCACATAAAATTAGACAATAATTGAAGCCATAAAAAAGCAGCCAAATCGCATTCTCGCTCTACTGTATTTAAATCTATATTTATGATATTTCATAAGGAGTTATTGTTTCACAAGCCACACAGGCTGGTGGGAAGCTGGGAGCGACCAGCAGATTCGTTTGCTTCGCCATGGCTCCCAGCTGTAAAAATTTACGAGGACTTGGAAAGGTTAAATTAGACTGTTGTGTTTGGTTGGCGAGCTCCCTGTAAATAATTCCTGCAGTCCCCGGAGATGCGAGTTTACCCCGGGCCGGCCGCGAAAAGTCAAATTCAACGCAGTATCCGTCTCAAACTGAGCCACCACCGCCCCTGCCGGAGCGCGCTGGGCAGGGACAGGCCTCCGAGAGGACACCGCCTATTGTGGGGCCCGGAAATCTGCCCTACTGGATCCCAGGGCACCCGGGCAGCTAGCTCCCAGCTTCGCCGCTGCGCCAACAGCGAGCGCCCCACCGAGGAGCGGCCGGCTGTCCCTGAGCCAAAGGGTTTGAGGGCCAGGTTGTGCCGCGGGTTCGGTCCCGACCCCGCGCACACGCGGCCCCCGCGCCCTACGAGTCCTCAGCGGGGAATCACGACACCCAGGCGAACACAGCAGGCGACCCAACACTGTGCCCCGACCTCAAAGGCCCTCACGCTGAGCTCTGCAAGCGTTGTCGCACTCCCCAAACCCGAGCTGCGGAAAAAAAAAAACACGAGGCAGCCTCAGTGGAAGGCGAGATCCGCTTGCGAGAACGCAGTCCAGCCGAAGAGACGGCGCGGCTCGGGTAGCTGGGAGGCCCGCACCGGAGCGGCTGGCCTCGGGGCCCTGAATGAATTCTTCAGGGCTCCTTCCTTCCTTTCTTTCTGGCCCCCGCCTCGGGCCCCGCCTCGGTTTTCACCAGGCCGGACGGCTCAACAGAGTTACAAGGCCCAAAGCTAGGTGACCGCAGCTCAAGTCCAGGGCTAGAAATTAAAACGGGGAGGGGCACGGGGCATTGACTTTAATCCCATTCCTTGGCTGGCTTGGCCACATTGAGGAGGGTATTTCTCACCCCTTAAGAGTCTTTCAGGGTTAAATTAAGAGGCCTCGCGGCCTCTGTTAGTTGGAAGAAAAAACCCACCCCAAATCCGAACGGAAAGCGACTCCTAAAAACGGGGTAATTAAATTCACGTGTGAACACTGTGCCTGCAAGAGTGTGTTTCTCATTAGCCCACTTCCCTGGCGGCGAGAGCGCTTCCATCTCCTTTTCTTCCTCCATCCTCCCGAACAGTTCCAGTAATCCTCCCCCAAAACCCTGATACACCCCTATCCCAGACGGGAACCCTCAAATGCCAGGCTCTCCCCCAGAGCGAGGCTGCGAAGCCCGGTGGAGACCAACCGGGTGCCCCGTTATCTGCTCTGGCCGGAAGAGGGAAGTGGCCGACACAGCGAACTCCGATGTGGCTGGTCCTGGTCGCCTTAGCCTCCCCCCCCCCCGTAATATTGTCCTTTTCCTGTAAATTCCTCTGCCTTATCCCCATCCCCACCCCCACCGCATCTCGGTGTGTCCCAAATTAGTGGGCAGTTCGCGGTGCCTCTGAGATTTTCATTAAGAAATATTAACCCTGGAGGCAACCTCGCTCCTAACTGTAATTGTCTGCCAACAAGCTGGACTCGCCTAGTTGCTTTTCGACTTTTTTGCCCAGAGAAGCCTTGAATTATTATTAGTATTTTTTTAAAATAAAAAGGCTGTTTAAATAGCCTTAGCCCCCAAAATAGGACAGTTACCACATAATTAGCAGGCGCTGAGTGTTAAGCAGGCCTTACTGATGCCTAAAAGGGGAGAAAACTCAGAAAAACCTAATATGACCCCTCTTCTGCCCAGAGATTTGGGGAGAAAATATTCAGGCTTTTGAGTCAGCTTTTATTTTGGAAATGAAAGGGACTGCGTGTGTATATTTAAAAAATAATAATAAATGGATGTAATTATAGACTGCCTCTTTTCGCCTGAGAGTTCTAAAACCTTGGCCTCCAGAACAAATCCAATACTCTGGTCCGGAAAATGGTACAGAGGAGTTGAGGGGAGAGCGGTGTGCTGGCCTTTCAGATAACAGGACCGCAGACAGAGCAATGGAAACAGTTCCAGGGCCCACAGCCAGAGCTGGGAAGGGAAACACAGCTGGGTGGGCATGAGTCTGAAGGCCCCTGCGTGTGTGTGTGTGTGTGTGTGTGTGTGTGTGTTTGGGGGCCAGGGAGGGGATGAAAATTGTTTTCAGTTCGGTAGCAAGAATCATTCGACTGGCTTCCGATGGTGGACTACAACTTGCAACAAGGGCTCAAGTTTGTAATATAATGGTTGTGGAATTTAAGATTCCTTTCCCCTCTTATTTGAAACAGCCTGGAGCTGGAAGGGTCCCTTTCTCCAGCACCCATCCGTACAAGGATGCCATTTCTAAAAGACTCTGAACCTGATAGAAGCTACGGGCAGTCAAGCAACCAGTCTTTGCCCTAGCCGGGCTCCCTTACGGCCGTTAAAGCCTGAGTTGGGACCGGCAGGCCCGGGAGAGCGGAGGAAGCTTCCGGGCGCCGTTCCCTGCGTGGCCAGGCTCCACAGAGCCTGGCTGGGCCTCAGCCCAGGTCCCAGCCTCAGGTGCCCAGTGAGGCCAGCGAAGGCCTCCTTGCGCTCGGTGTGGGCACACAAAACCGCCGGGAATGCCGCCTAATCGGACCTCTCAGGCTGCGGTTGCCGACCGGCGGAGTAAGACCGCAAGCCCGCCGCCGGCCGGTCGTGATCATAACCGAGGCCTTGTCTGTGCAGCGGCACACCAGGCCCAGATCCACAGCCCTCGGCAGCTGTCCCACGCGAGCCCTTCCTTGGCAGATTCCGACCACAACTTGGCCACGCATCAAAAAATAAGACCCCCGCCCCAGGCTCTCCCCAAGCTAGCCCTGGGTGCCTCCCAGAGGAAGACATGCGAGGACGGGAAGTGGAGATAGAAAACTGGGCACAGAGAGACCGAAGATGAAAGAAATGAAGGGAAGGAAAGAAAGAAGCAAGAAGTAAAGAGAAAGATAAAGAAGAAGAAAGAGGAAGAAAGGAGGGAAGAAAAGAAGGGAGAAAAGAGTCAAAGGCGACTCCTGGGAGCAGAGGGCGGCTTACAGAGAGAAGGGTAAGTGACAAGGCCAGGATCCCAGCCCCTTTCCGCCCTGTCCCTCCTAGTTTGGCCTGAGTCTCTCTCAGAGGGATCTTTTCTGGTCTCCTACCCTGGATTGGGGCTGATAGCGTCCCAGCCTTGCAGCAGAACGGCCTGGAGTGGGGGGAGGCCCAGGATGGAAGCGTGCGCCCCTGACCTTGAATGGCTCAGGGCCCAGAATTCCTACCACGCCCCCGGGCGTCCGCCAAGGAGCAGCTAACCTGACCATACCTGCTGGGGGCCAGGTGGGGATGGGAATTGAGGCCAACAGCCTGGCATAGCGCTGGGAAGGAGGCAGGGACGAGGCTCCTGCGTGGGAAAAGCCGAGGTTGCCGCCGCAGGCCTGGCACGACCAGGGCCCGGATGCCCCGCCTGGCCCGGCCCCCGCGCGCACAGGTACCTGGAGACGATTTCAACTGAAGTAATGAAGGCAGTGTCGTGCTGTCGAGAGAAAGGTGGATCCCAACAACAGGAAACTACCTAAATCACCGACCAGTTCTGGTGCTGCCCGCGCGGGGCTGCCTCGCCCGCCGCCGCCGCCGCCGCCGCCGCCGCCGCCGCCGCCGCCACCGCCACCGCCGCAGCCAAGGGAGAACCCTGCGATCGCGCCCGGCCCGGCCCCTTGCCAACCTGCGCCCGCGCTGCCACTGTGTGTCCCGCGCTGCCGCTAAGGCCTCACCGAGGGAGAAGCCACCGGCCCCGGTAAGCTAAACCTGGGAGAGAGGGGGGAGGAAGGTAAAGGAGAGAGAGGAAAATGGAAGGAGAAGGAGAAGCGAGAAGAAAGGAGAGCGAGCAGTGTGCGTGCTGGTTCCCAAATCTTGCTTCTCAGCGAGCTGGCGCCAAGCGGCGGCAGCCCTGGGCGACTCGAAAGCGCCAGGGACGTCACCGAGCCCGGCTCCCTGTCTGGTCTCGGCCTCCGGCGCTCGCTCCCTACGGCTCGCTCTCCCCCTCTCTCCCTCCCAGACAGCCAGCCAGCCGGGGCGCGCGCTCCCGCGCCCCCTCCCCCTGCCGTCGGCCCCCCCCACCTCCCGCGAGCAGGAAACGCGTGGCCCCGCGGAGGGCGACCAGGTGGGGGAGGCCGTGCTGGGGGAGGGGGGGCTTGCAGCCGGCAGCAGGCTACCTAGCTGCTGCTGCGGATGCTAGGGATGCGCTCTAGGCCCAGCCTGCTCCCCGGATTGCTAGGCTGGGGGTCATCTAAGACCAGGGGACCCACAAAACAACCGGCGTCTGCGAGCCTCCCTGGGGCTCCCGAAAGAAATCCTGTTTGGCTTCCTCTGTCTACGCAGCTCCCCTCTCAACTGAAACCACTGGTCCAGGACAGCCACAATCCAGATATACTAGCAAGTCATAAAACTGAACAAAAGCCGACAAACCTTACGGCACCAGGGCTATAGGGCCCAGACAAATTACGACCGTCTAGGTAATATTTAAATAGATGCCTAAAGTAATTGCAGGGGGCGCGGGCTAGTCCTCCTGTTGTAAAAGTGGTGAACGGGATAAAGTGGAAGGTGAAGATAAGAAGTCAAAAAAAGAGGTAAAATTAAAAAGCTTCATTCCACAGCTTTTATTCTTCTATAAGAACATAAACATCGTCTTTTTTCCACGCACAGCAGCATTACAATATTAATTTATTCTGATTTAAGATTAGAAGTAAATAGAGCTAGAACTAACATTTATAATAACGATAGAATGCATTTGCATAAAACAAGATTGGCAATTTTTCATAATAATAAACATTTATACAGATTTGTATTTATAATTTTTCTTTTTCTGCACCTACAGGTTTGACCCTTTTATGCATGTAACTTCACAGTATAAAGGAAACCCAAACAATGTCTCCCTTCTCTAGTCTATTCTGCTTGCCCAGCCCTCCTCGGATTCTGTGAATTTTAGAAAAGAAAAAATAGAAGAGGAAGAAGAAAAAAGAAAATGAGAAAGAAAACTCTCCACAAGATAGGGAGAATTGTGGTGTGCTTGTCGCGTTACCAGTGGTAACAATTATTTGATGACCAAAAAACCCCACTAAATCCGCACGCATAAACAAAACTATATTAGATTATTTATCTACAGCCAGAAGGATATGGAAATTCAGAGGTAAGTGAAATAATTTAGTCCCACAATGCAAGACCTCACACAAACTGGAAGAGAAGTTTCCTTCTCCTTGTCATTCTTTTTTTTTTTTCCGTTTAAAGCTGGGATATCTTACAGAGGAAGGAAAGATTAATCTTTCTGACTCTCAATTTTCTAATCAGCCAAAGTCAAGCCCTTTTGCCAGCCTGCATGTCCATGCTTGTAAGCCCTTCTCTTTGCCAAGGAAGAAAGAAAGAAAGAAAAAAGAAACCCAGGGGCCTGTGTCCCCTGATTAAACACAGCCCAGCACTCCAGGCAGGCGAGCCCGGTGGCGGCTCCTTGCACCATTGACCTCAGGCCAGACACCTCAGCGCCTACAATGGGACCTCGGCCTTCCGGCTAGGTTTGCCCACCTCCCGCAGGAAACCAGCTCCACCGGGAGGACAGGAGCCATTTCCAGCAGAGGAACCCCGAGACAGCAAACCAGCCCAGTCACCACTCAACACTTGAGAATAATATTTATCTCTATAGAAATTTAGCACGATATGGCTTTTTCCCCCAGAAAACAAGTAAACCAGCACCAAGCAAACAGACAAAGAAACAAAAAGTCAGAACAAACCAGCCCTGCACAGATGTAACGGCCAGCGAGATGGCGAGTGTGGGAGGGAGGAATGGGGCTCCGGCACAGGTGTGAGTTCCTGGGCAGAGGCCGAAGACTGAGGGAGGAGGACGGCTCTCTGGCAGCGAAAAAACGGCATTGCCTGGAGCTTCATCAGGAAAAATTAAAATTGGCTGTGAGCTCCCGGATTCGGTTTTCTCGGTTCATTTTCTTCAGTTTCATCCTGCGATTCTGAAACCAGATTTTAACTTGTCTGTCCGTGAGGTGGACGCTGCGGCTGATCTCTAGGCGCCGCTCTCGAGTAAGGTACATGTTGAACAGAAACTCCTTCTCCAGCTCCAGCGTCTGGTGCTTGGTGTAGGGGCAGCGCTTCTTCCTGCCGCTCTTTGCCGTGAGCCAGTTGGCTGCATTTTCGCCTTTGGAATTGCCTAGCATTTAAGAGAATAAAGAAGGGAAGGTTAAATAAGGGCCACACTAGGCTGTGCGCAGGGGTGAATTTGGGACTTCTCTGCAATAAGAGGGATGCCCTAAGTCACACAGAGAGAGTTTTACACACACACACACCCTTTAGCTTGCTCAGGAAGAGCAGTTCCTCCAAAGGGCATGTGCAAAATGGAGAGGGCCTCCAATCTACACCTACCTTCCTGATTTACATTTTCCTCCACTTTTCCCCAAACACCTGTTTTAGCACAAAGCTGTCGGGTGCTCACAGACAGAACGGCCTGGGAGGGCAGGCTGTGTATCTTGAACTTAACGCCTTTCTTTGCTTCTTGCCCCAAGGCAGACAAGGATTTCCTGCCGCCCCCAGGCGGGAGGCATGGGTGCTCGCTTGGAAGGGAGGCGGGCAGCATGGCTTCGTCCCATTCCCGTCCCCTGATTGCCTAAGGCCCAATGAGGAGAGGAACGAGGACATCGTTGGGCCACGGGGAAGGCACGAAAAACTGAGTCGGGGTCAAGGGCCGTCCCTCACGTCTTTCCAGGAGCCAGGGACGGGCAGTCTGGGCGATTCCGAGTTCCAGGAGAAACGAAATGGCCCCTTTCTGACTCTAAGCTCAGGGCCCCGGCGACCCGGCCGGATTTGCCTTTTCTTCTCCCCGCAAGGAGGATTCCCGCCCCTCAAGCAACTTTGAAAAAAGCATGGGGGATCGTAAACTCGAACTTCGCCGGTTAATGGGCTTATTTATTGGTGCTGGCGGCTGCTTATTTTGGATGCCTTACAAACATACGCGCTATCTGCGGGCGAGCCACTTTCCTCCCTCCCCCTCCCCCCGCGTGGGCCGCGCCTCGCAGTCCGGGCCCAGACCACGGCTTAGGGTGCTCCGGGCCACGGAGAAGGGCATGCACAAGAGGGGGGCTGCTCGTCCATGCCCTCGTCCCCAACGGGGGGTGAGCTGAGGCCAGCGCGGCGGACGTCTTGGTGTGGGGCGCTAAGCCGGACATGAATTTTTACTGCGTCCCCACGCCCAAATATTAAAAAGCAAGTTCACAAGGTCAGCCTGCCTGCAGCTTGGGCCAAGGCCGGCCGGCTGCTGCGCGCACTCCTGGCTCTCTGCTCTTTCCCTTCTCTGGGTCGGCCTGTCTGCCCGCCTGACTGCGGTCCTTCGGCGCGCCCGGCTTACCCAGGGAGTCCTTCTCGGGCGAGGCTTTGCTGCTCTCGGAAGGGGCTGGGGAGAGCTCCTCTGCGGCCGAGGACGACGCGTGCGCCTCCTCGTCGCCCTGTGAGCCCCCGCCGCCGCCACCGCAAGTCAGCGTAGGGGGCGGCGGTGAATCGAGGGCTCGCTCTTTCCGGGCTGCATCCGCTGAGCCGGAGGCGAGGGCGGGTGGCGGGTCGAAGCCGCGCCCGGGGGGCTGAGCGGGGAACGGGCCGGCGCCGAGCTGTTGCGCGCCGCCGCTGCTGCCGTAACCCTTGGCGGTGCCATAGGCCTGGGAGAGGCGGAAGTAGCCAGGCACTGGCACCCCGCTGGAGGTGCTCAGGGAGCAGCCGTCGGGCGGCGGGCCCCGCGGGAAGGGAGCCAGCTCGGCTGTGGCGGTGGAGCCTTTGGGGCATTTGTCTGCCGAGTCGTAGAGGCAGTAGGAGCTCTCCTCTTTGATGTTCTGCGCGAAAGAGCACGAGGTGGCCTGCGGCGGGGGTTGGGGTGGTTGCGGCGGGGGCGGTGGCTGCTGCTGGGGCGGTGGCGGCGGCCCCTCGGCCGGCTCCATCCGACACGACCGGGGCGCGTCCAGCCACAGGTCTATAGGCGCGGGCGCGTAGCCGTGCGCCCCGGGACCCAGGCCCCCGCTGCTGCCGCCGCCGCCCGGCGACGCCGCCTCATTGCGCTTGCCTCCCAGAGCCGGGAAGAGCCCGCAGCTCTGCAGCCCGTAGGGCAGGTCGGCGGCCGGAGGCAGGTATACCCCGCCGTGGGCGTAGTAGCCGCCACCGCCGCCACCGCCCCCCGCGCCGCTGCCACCACCGCCAGCCTCGCCTCTGCCCGAGCTGATGAGCGAGTCGACCAAAAAAGAGTTCGCGGCGGGGCTCTCCGAGCATGACATTGTTGTGGGATAATTTGGCGAAGGGAGCAGATAGCCCTTTCTGGCTGACATTTCTTGTGCAAAACATGCTGAATACGATTAGCAATCCCCCTGCACCGCGGCGGGTGCCCGCAGCCAATCCTGAGCCAGAGTTTCCGCGCGACCACTCCCAGTTTGGTTTCGTAGGCGCTGGGCCGCTCTCCGAGGGCGCCCTCTGAGCCCACGATTGATATAAATATGTAATCTGTATTGATGGGCCCGGAGACGAACACCCGATACCTCAGCTCAAAGGCCAGGAGCTGTGGGGGCTGCCTCAACGTGGCTAGTGGGGGGCCTGGCCCCTGTGCTAGCCCCGCCCACGCTCGGACGTGAGCCCTCATGCCCCGTCTGTTTGAAGGGCCCTTGGGCCCCCGCGCAGTTAACAAGTGGGGTGTTTATGGTGCGCACCCCGGCCCGCCTTGGGTGCTCCCCATTCTTGTTTCGGAATCAGCCACTAGCCCTCCAGGCACTCTAACCACTAAGAGGACCTGTCGGGGCCTCAGGCTCTTCCTTTTCAGCTCAGGACCTGGAGCTGTCTCCCCAAAGTGGCAGACCTGACCCTAAGGCCACCAAGAAGACCCTTAGAGTGTCCGAGATCCAGCGCTCACTGGCAGCTGGCTATTGCCACTTCTTTCTTGCACCCCACACAGAATTTTCCCAAAAATGTTAATGCCCTGGCTTCTCAGCTCTCTACACTCCCCTCGGCCAGTCGTTGATCCAGTTAGGATCTTTGCTTCTGGCGTGCTCACCTGGCTTGCTTTCTCTGCAGCTCCTGTCGGTGAACCCTGGTGAGCTGAAACAAGTTGGGGGGGGGGAGTGGTAAAAGCAACTGGTAACTTTGGCTGAAAGACTGCCCTACCCCTATTTGGAAGTCAGAGCCAGATCCAGGCACCCCCCAGCCCCATCACCCGGGTAGCTTCCAAGCTCATATGCCGCTTCAGGGAAGTGAAAGAAACATTGCTCTTCAGGGTCTTCGGTTTGACCGGAGACAAGACCTGGAGGGGGAAACTCGGAGGAGGGGGCGGCGGATGGACGCCTCCGCCTCAAGCTCTCCCTTTAGCCTTGGCATTCGCACGCTCTCGGAGGTTATGACAGGAACCAGTGTCACCACACTCCTGCCTCTCCGTCCCCTCCCCTCTTCCCCCCCTCCCCTCCAAACCCGCGGCTGGGGCAGCCCTCACTCCTGCGGTGTGCGCATTTTAACGAGGCCCGCGGTGAGGAAATCCGTTCCCGGCAAAGCCGGGCTGGGCTCGTGGCCCATTTATAGCAGCGTTCGGAGGCCAGGCCCTTTGCTCAGCAGACTCCAGGGCCTCCTTCGTCCCTGGCCGTAGGGACGCGCTCTTAGTCAACTGGAAACTGCTGGCCCAGGGCGCTAGCCCCGGTGTGGGCCTCATACGTATCTCAGGAAATGATACCTTTTCCGGCCGGATCCAGTGGAGCCAAGGAGCTCGCTGCCTTGCCCCAGGCCTGTGGGCCACAGCTCTCCAGGATGCCCCAGGCCTGCCCGCCGCACCAGCTCCAGCCCCTGCAGAGGCCTTGACTGGCGCTGCTGATCGCCGGGATCCCCCGAAGCAGAGGGCTCAGGCCTCTGCGTACAGCGGGGAAAGACCCTTGCATATCGGGTGATGTGCCAGGCACTTGGCCTTGTTCCTCCCATTGTGAACCCAGTGGGAGAAGGAAGCCGAGCCTGAGAAGACCCAGAGAGAGTACCCGGGAGGGCTGGCGGAAGAGCCCTGACGCGGGCTTCTGAGATGCAAGCGGTTGAGGTCTGCGCCTGTTGTGGCTGCTCCGCGCTCAGCGCGGGCCGCCGCACCCCCGCTTCACACTCTGCAGAGCTTGCGCACCACGGCTTGCGCGGCGCTCCAGCCACTTCCACCCGGCTGGCCTGTGCCTCACGGTGACTGGCTCCGCGGACCGAGTGTCTGGGGTAGAGAGGAGGGAGATGGAGAGAGACAGAAGGAGAGAAGGGCTGAGGGAGAGAAAGGAAAGGGGCGGGGGAGAGAAGGGGAGAGAGTCTGAGAACCAGTTCTCTCCAATCCAACGAGATCCTGAGGCCGAAGTAGCAGCGGCGGCCAAATCAAGTCTGTGTGGAGAGATCAGGAACTGTCCTTCACTCCCCACCTCCTTCCCGCGAGCAAGGCCAAGGCAAATTCTAACCTGGCCAGGCCCAGAGGCCAACAAACTTGAATAGGGAAGAGCTTCGGAGCAGGGCATCCTAGGACCCCTGTCTGGATGGGCTTGGTCCTTATCCAGCTCTCCAGGAGGGTGGGACGCATTGGGACTGTTGCACTCAGCAGTGCTACTGGGAAATGCCACAGAACTGAGGACTGCCTGAGAAGGGGGCTTTGCCCCAAAGCACTGTGCATGCCAATCAAGAAAGCTCTGCAGAGTGTGAAGTAAGGCCCAAGAACAGAAGAGGAGTCCTTGAGGAGAATGAGTCCTGCAGGCCGTTTGGGCCAGGATTTGGTTCCTCTCCACACTAAAAGCAGAAAGCAGCTTTCCCAAGGCTGTAGGTTGGGAATGGAAGAGCCAGTGGCTGTAGGAGAGAATGCTTGAGATGGCAGAAGCTAAGAAAATAAAATGAAAGTCAATGATCTAAACCTATCTTTCTTTTTGAAAGTTAAGGCCCCCTTGGAAAAGCTAAGGCCAAGCTCTGATTCTTATCCTGTGAAAAATGCACATCTGGACAGTCCCACAATTTGACCCATCATTTTCAAGGAGTTCACAGACCCCTTTCAGCCTTCTCCTTGGGCCCTCCAGAATGTTCCAGTACTCTCAGGAATTCAGCAACCCTGCCAGTTTGACTGGTAAGACAAGCCGGGTGCCTGGCTGTAGGCATCTCAGGCTCAGACTGGTCAGCACCCTGTAGGGTGACCAAATGGGCTTCTAGGCAGGATGGGATCCAAGAACACGCAGGTGCCAACCAAGGTGACAAAAGCCAGCTTGGTACTGCATCTGCTTTAAGAAGGCCCCCTTGGCTGCGGACTTAGAGGAGGTAGAAAGCCCGCTGCTGCCTTGCAGACCATGGCATTGGCACTTGGGTCTTCACTGACCTTTGGGAAAGCTGAATGCTTTCCTCCAACCTCTTTTCTCCCCCTTGCAATAAACCAAATGAGATGTTGAGTTTGTGCTGTTTCTTGCTTAAAAAAAAAAAAGATGACGATGATGAAGAGTGTGTAAGCCCGGGTAAGCCTCTCTGGCCCCGGACTGCTGCCCCACCCCCACCGGGGCTGGCGGAGCTGCGAGTGAACCGACAGCCTGCCGAAGGGCCTAGGATGCAGACCCGCCTGCTGCTGCTGGTTCGCAGGAGAAGATATCCACGCAGCAGAAGCTCAAGTTAGATGCTGCTGCCCTTTCAACTGGTCTTGGAGCTCCCAGCATCCCTGACCGCCAACCCCCCCTCCCCCCGCAAGGCTCTGCACTCCCCAGACTGTAACACCGAGGTGTTAACTTCCTCAATAGAATATTCGGTTTATCGATCACCAGGGCTTTCTCAAGGTTCCCCATCCCCAGAGATTAAGAAAAGCGATTCAGTTGCAGCGTGGGTTGGCTCCTGGATACGGTCTTCCCTCTAGCCCCTTTGCGGTCTTTCCTTCTCTCCCTTTCACCCTCCCTCCCAGCGGCTGAATTTCTCTGTCCCCCTCAGGATGCCTTTGACCTAAAACTCTCGGTGCATGCTTCCTTCAACCAGGCCTGTGTAGAGGTTATGTGCAGCCCCCAAGGCCCACGTTTTATTTCGGAGTAAATATCATCCATTTCTACCAGGGTAACAACGCTCACCCTCCCCATGGCTATGGAGCCCAAGTAAGGGCCAGGCAAGTGGAATAAGCCCTTTGGCGAGGGTCACGGTGCATTTCACCGGATAGCGGATTCCTCCTTCTGAGTAGGCCCTTGCAAACGATGAGAAATAACAAACTGTTACTACCCAAAACCCCCACTTCCTTTTTAAAATACTAGGTACAGAGATGGGGATAGCCAGTAAACAGTTTGTATCTGGAAGTCGTTCTCAGTGTTTTCCAGGCTCAGAATCATCTGACCGGTTGTGGAGTTGGGCTGTGGCCCCACAGAAGGAAAATAAACGCTCCTTTAACAAAAATTCTGGACTTCTCTGATTCTCACACTTACTGTGTGGTTAGAAATTTTTTTGTAAGCCATGACGTTCTTTCTCGTTCATCTTTCAGAATGTCAACATTTCCAAGGAAATTTGTTGTGTCTGTTTTGAATTAATCAGGTTCAATCTATCCCTAAACAACCCGCTTTAAATTTTTCTCTAAATCCAACCACTAAACTGTCCCTTCTCTCCTCATGGGGGAGTGTTGGGGTCTTTTCACACACTCCCCAAATTACAATATGCTTAATTTTGTCCATAATAAACTGCCTCTGGCTTTGAAACCAGAGGTGGCTCTGGGATTTTAGGCTGCAGAAAGCATGGTGTGGGTGCCCACTCGGTGTAGTTCCTGTGGTTGCCTTATTTTTGGCAGAGTTTGGGAGCCCACGCTCAACAAAGACTAGTGACTTTTGATAGGCAAGATTTGCACACACACACACACATACACACGGAACTCCTATTTTCTCTGAGATTCCCTCCCCCCATTCACCCATGCACTATATATTTGTGAAAATAGCGATTTCAAGAAACTAATGAAAACATATTGGAACAAAAACTTAAATATAAGAAAAGAGGAAATTTGAATCTACCCTCTGAAACGTTAAGTGAAATGAGTACTTAAAACTTGTTTTGTGACAACCCTGATGGAGAGATTGTGACCAGAGTTTATCCTCGGTGCTAGTTTTTGAAAATGTATAGGTATATACCAATACAATTTTTGCATATTTGCAAAATATCTCATATTTACATCTAAGAAATCACTGCAAAACCCCAGCTAGGTTTATAGCAGTGCATCCCAAATAAGCAAATACAGCTTCTCTGGAAGCCTCAGAAATCATATGCGACTTTTTGGAATTGGCCTTTTTCAGAACAAAGGTTTCCCCAGGCTGCTGGGCAGACCTAGAGACTGCACCTAGTAGAAAACCAGAGACCTCCCGGATGTCTGCCCCACGGAGTAAGCCGGCTGCAGCGGCCACTGTTGCTCACCACCTCATTGTTTAGAGTAGAAACTTTGTTTTCCCCAGTACCGCCATCTCTCTCACTCTCTTTTCCCTTCTCTCTCTCTCTCTTTCTCTTTTTGTTGCCACCACAACCCCCACCCCGGCACTGCCAGAACCCCTTCACTAGGATGCCCCCCCTCCCTGACTCATCCCATTCTGAATATTTCTACAAAATTGAAAGATTGCCTTGGGTGCATTGCTGGCGCAAGGAGCTAAAATCGTCAACTTTTCCACTTAGGCGTCCCTCTGCTTTCCAACCTTAGGGAGCGATGGGAGAAAGGAGGGGGTGGGCTGAGCGCCTATAGCGTCACCCGGAGCTCACAAACCCAGCCACTTATCCCAGTCCTGCTCTGACATGGGCCACCTCCCCACTCCCGACTCAGCCAGACTGAAATTGCTAAACTTGTGGCCTCTTACCTTGACACATTTCCGAAATCACTGCCAAGGGACAGCAAGCAGGCTTCTCCGCGGCGCGACGCCTGCGAGGCCTAGAGAAGGCACGTTGCTTTAAATTACAACACCAATTACTTCTTGAAGGTGAGCCCCCCCCCCCTTATTTTGATACTAAGGGGATCGGGACAAGTGAAATAATATAACGTGCTGCTCTTAGTATCAGAAGCGAACAAAGGCCAAGAATCGCGCTGGAGTTCCCGGCTCCCCCGTGGCTTTGACATTGATCGGACGTGCGCCATCTCGTGGCGGCTGAGTGACTAGGCGCGGCCCGAACTTCAGCCCCGAGCCGGGAGAGGGAAGCAGGCTCTAGGCATAGACAGAGGGAAAGAATGTGCCCAGCTCGCTGCTAAACAGATCTCATTTTTACATCTAAGAAATTGCTGCAAAACCCCAGCCGGGTTTATAGCGGCGCATTCCAAATATGCAAATTGGCCGGCCCCGGACGGGTTTACGACCACATTGTCACAGCCATCGGAGGATGGGCTTTTATAGGGCTCAGAAATCAAACCCGCTCCCGCTCGCCGCCCGCCGGCGAACAGTCCTCCTGGCTAGACTCTCTCTAGCAACTTGCAAGACTTTGGTTAATCTTTAACCGTCCCAAAGGAAGTCTTTCCTTAAACCCTCGGCTTCCCTGCCCACCCCTCCCTGCCCCCCAGGAGAGTCGTTGTTCACCTCTGTGTGTCTGTTCATCAACCTAGACATTCATCTAGGGGGGTCTGTCCCATTCCCCTTTGAGCTCGATTTCCCCAGTCGTGCCAGTTAGACAAACACACAAACAAATAAACAAAGCAGGGTCTGAGGTCTGGGGCCTCTCTCCAAATTCGATCTTCTCTGCAACTCTGGCCCTGCCTGGGTGGCTGGGGAGAGGGTGGGGGTAGAGGTGGGGGGTGGGCAACAAAAGGCTCTGGCCTTTCCACCCTGCCCCTCAAGGTTATGGGTGATGTCCAAATTTAAGGCAGAAGTTCAAAGGCAGGAAACAAAGAGTAAACAGGCATCTTTCTTTCCCCAAAGGGAAAAGGCAACCTCAGCTGGGAGCTTGGGACAAAGTGTCCATAGAGGCTCCTGAGAGTCTGCTTTTGGTACCCAGACTGGTCTCTGTCTTCCTAAGGGGATCCCCAGGGCACCCTAGAGTGGTTCCACTTCAGGCCTCCTAATCCTGAGGTGAGCAAGCCCAGCCTGGGATCAAACTCATTGACCAGCTCAAGCCCCAGGGCTTTCTCCCAGGCCTCTCTCCAGTCTGAAAGGATGAAACCCCCAATTCCAGGTCCTGAAATACCCCATTCATGGGACCCCCACTTCTGCAAAGGACCTGGCCAGTCACCTTGGCTTCCCAAGCTTGGTTTCTAGTGGAATTAAAATCCTAAGACACCTCACCACCCCCTCCGGGGCCTGGTAACTTGCCCCCTGGGGGGAGTGATGGGGGGGGGCAGACATTTGGCAGTAAAAGGCAAACAGGAAGAGGAAAGTCACACCAGAACCCAGTACTCAAGTTTCCAGTCTTTATTTTCCTTGTGCCCTGTCGCCTGTGTACATGCTGCGACATATGTGGTGGGTGAGAACGGAGGACAGGCCAACACTCCCGTTACAAACAGAGTCACCAGACACTTCTTAAAACAGGGAGGCAGAGGAGATTCAATGGGAGGGTGCCTGGCTTTCTCAGCTGAGGTCTCCAGACCCTGGAGGGCCAAACTACTTCAGAACATCCCCCTAATGTTTTCCAGACATTGCAAGAAATTAAAAAGATCATTCCTAACACCCTTCCCGCCCCTCCACCACCCCAAGGAAATCAACTAATGGCAAAATTTAGAAAGTATTCAAACAAAATAGGTTATGGTTCTTTTATTTACAAGTCTTTTGAACACCATCCCTGTATGAAGCGTACATTCAAATATTCTTTAGCAGTGAGTGAGTTTAACCGTGGAACACTGTAAACAGATAGAGCCTTTAAATATTCTCTTCATCATCTTTTTCCCTCTTTACGTTGCATCTTTTTAAAACTCGCTTTGGTTCCTGCAGGGAAATATATATAATATAATATAATATTTATTTTTTTTAAAATAATTCCAAACACTCTTGAGTTCTTGGAAGGTTGCCGGAAGCTTCCAAGCTCAGTTCTGGGGCGCAAAGGGCAGAGTGGGGTGCCAGACTGGGTGTTTTGGGGACTCAAGCCCCTCATAGCTGGGGACCGCTGGCCAGGCCAACTGTTCTGCTGAGCAAACCCAAGCTTCAGTTAAGTGTGGCGGAGACTTAGCTAGGCTGCCGCACTCCACAGGCATTTCCTGCAAAGATCTTGGGGCTAGCGGGAAAGGTCTGCTTCGCGACCAGGCTTTAGGCCTGAGTGGCAGTCCAGGAAGAAGGCCCTCATCGGTAGGAAAAACCAGGTGGGCTGCAGAAGGCGACTGCTTGAAGCTCCGGCCTCGGACAGTGCGGTGAGTGGCTAGGAGGGGTGGAGAGCCCCTAATGCCACCTGGAATTGATTTTTTCCCCCTCAAGGATCAGCAGCCCTCTCCCACCTCATAGCCACCTCTTAGTCCGGCCGTCTTTCACACTGGCTTTGGAAAGCAGCCCCACTCCAGACATCTAGGAATCCTCCCCCCTTCCTCCTGCTCCTGTCCCCAAGCTGAACTGGGTTTAAAGATTGAATAGCTTCTTGGTGCAGGGGTCCTGGGCATGGGCAGGCTCCATGTGGAGGGTCCTGGGCCCCTGTCGGTCTCCAGGGCGCTTGGCAGGAGGCCCAGTCTTGATGGAGACCACACCCAGCCCAAAGCTCCACAGTCTCCAAGAATGAACCACCAGGGGTCCCAAACCATTCATTCTAGTTGATGCACAGCTCTCCAAATCCAATTTTTGTTAGGAATCTTAACCACAGATGCCCAAGAGAGTCCCGGGCCGCCTTCTTACGTGTAGCCTCCCCTCTTTTGCACATCTCTTTTCTTCAAAAGTCACCACGTGCCTTGACCTTGTCAAGGGCAAAATCTGCATATAATCTCACGTGTATGAAGCCCCCCACCCAATTCCAGCTGGCTGGAGCCTTAGAGGAGCGGGTTGGCCGAGTAGTACTGTAAACGGTCTCTGTTAATTTTTTTTTCCTTCATTCTCCTGTTCTGAAACCAGATTTTGACTTGACGGTCAGTGAGGTTGAGCATTCGAGACAACTGCAGGCGCTTCTCTTTGTTGATGTACACACTGAAGAAGAACTCCCGCTCCAACTCCCGGATCTGGTACTTGGTGTAGGGGCAACGCTTTTTTCTGGTGCGTTGGCCACCTGTGGAGGGAGAAAGAAGCAGGGAGTGAGCCAGGTGTGGGGGCTGCAATCCATCCCAGAACCCCAGTGGAGGAAAAGGGCTGGCCCATGGGACTGGAGGCCCTGTCCTAGCCCCATCAAGGTCTCCTCAGTCGCCTGCCTTCAGGCTCCTGCTGCCCGCTGGGGACAGGCTGCAGGCGGAGACTCAGCCCCAGATAAAAGCCAGCTCCCTAGATAGGCCCCCAGGGAAGCTGCTCACGCTGCCCCCAGAGCAGAAAGGAGGGCTCCTTCAGCAACAGGCGGGCGGGCTGGGGCCGCAGAAGCGGCTTTCAAAGCCGCCGAGAGGGGGTCGCCGCTGCCTCCAGCGCGGCCAGACTAAACAAACAGCCGCCCGCGGACATTTCACCTTCCAGCACCTGGGCGGCCGGTTCCCGGTTCCCGAGGCAGTAAAGTCGACCCCAGTCCCAGCCTTTCCCGGCTGCGGCCGTGACTCGGCCCTCGTTAGCATCTGAGGCCGCTGCCGGGTCTTTGTCAGCCTGAGTCCTGGCCACCAGCTCCTGCCTCCTTGACCAGCCTCCTGGCTTCCGCGAGCTGAGGAGGTGGCAGCGGAAGCCCCCTACCACGGGCCTTCCCTGCGCACCAAGGCCACACAGCCATCCTGCCCCCCCGCCCCCCGCTGGCCAGGGGTGCTGTTTTAGATAGCGTGGAGGGAAGAGGGGTTTCCTAAAGCTGCGGGCAGGCTCGACTTGCCCCCCTTTTCAATAAAACTTCACAGGACGGAGAGGAAAAAAAAAACCCCGCTTTTGACAGAATGAATAACAATTGTGAGTAACATGCAGTGGGACAGAAGGCGGCACGTAATTGCCACCGCGCCAGAGGAAAATGGCTTCCTTTGGATAAAAAGGCCAACTTTGGCTTAATTTGTTTCTTTTAATATATTGCTCGAGCTAAGCGGGCTATTTTATCTGTTAAACACGCTCCTAGCGCCATCGTTAAACAGCGACGCCTTTGAATCCCGGCCGGGACTGGAGTCCCGGCGCAACACATGGCTTTTATAAAAATCTCCGGATTACCTCGCTATCAAAGGCTCCCGGAGCCCTTGCAGGGGGAATTTACAGGCGCCCACCTCCGGCTCCCCAGCCCGAGCTGGCCCCGAGCGGGGTCGAGCTGCTGGGCTTGGGACTGAGAAGGGAAAAAAGGGAAAAAGGGAGTTGTGTGTGTGGTTTTTTTTTTTTGATTTTTTTTTTTTTTTTTTGCAGGCATGCCTTGGCCGGTGGGTATTTCACGGCCAATTTCAGCACTCGCCACGTGATCCCGCCTTTTATAACAAAGTTTTGTTGGGGGAAACCTAAAGGCCCTTCATAAACCTTATATGCTTATAAAACAGCATATAAAAATTTAACAGCGGTGCTGCGCTAGATTTCCAACTCCCCTTTCATAAAGCGCAGGGCGCTGCCTTTATACGTACTGGAGCCGCCGGCCTTGTCCTCAGTGTGGCCGGAAGACGACTCAGGGCTGCTGCTGCTCTCAGGGCGCCGTCGCCGCTCCTTCTCCGCCGCCGCCGCCGCCGCCGCCTCCCGGCAGCCGCCGCCGCCACCGTCCGAACTTGAAGTTGCGGGCGTGCCTGTGCCCGTGGCCGCTGCCGCCGCCGCCGCCGCCGCCGCCGCCGCGGAGGTCGCTGCGGCCGCTGGGGGCCCCTTCTCGGCGCTCTTGTCCCCGGGGTAGTCGGAGGAGGCGAGGTTTTCCGGGGTGCCGTAGGCCGTCTCGAAAAACTGGTCGAAAGCCTGTGGCAGGACGCCGTTCCTGCCCACGGTGCTATAGAAATTGGACGAGACGGCGGGGGTGGGGTGGTGGTAGACGTTGGCCGAGCTCTTGGCCAGCACGTCGCCAGGCACGCCGGCCGCGCTGGGCGCCTGCAGGCAGTCTCTGTGCACGAGCTCCTCCGCGGAGTAGCAGTGAGCCAGATTGCCGCGGGGGTGCCATTTACTGGCGGGCTCAATGGCGTACTCTCTGAAGGTCACTTCGCGTACGGGTTGGACCTGGGGCAGGTTGGAAGAGTAGGAGTATGTCATTGGGCGCGAAGACGGGGTCTGGGGCAGAAAAGAAGGGAGGCTGGAGAAATCTGGACCCGAGACGTAGTAAGTACAACTTGGCAAATACATGTTAGAGGAGCAGGGACCACGCTCATCAAAATCCATCATTGGGCTACGTTGGGCTCTCCGCAGTAGCCGAGCTTAACATGATTCTCCACTGCAGCTGCCTCTTTGAAGCGGATCCGTGAAGTAGAAATTTGGAGACGTAAGCTGACGTGGAAATCTATCCCCATCCTTAGCAGGGAGGTGCTGGTCATGTGACCCGATGTTGAAATTGACAAGCTGCAAGCTGGTCTGGGCCTTTTTTTTTTTTTTTCCCCTTTCCTTCCCCCCCCCCCCCGGCTTCCTTTCTTTGTAGCCACCTCAGGGGAAGCAACAGATCGTCACTCGGTGTTCTCACCGAAAGCACGTAATCGCCGGTGTAACTCATGTTGGCTGGGGGGCCTCCCGGCGCGCGGCCAGGCTGAGGTGCGCCCCATGCCACTCGCTTGTGCTCAGCGGCACGGTCCTGGCCCTCAAGTGCGCCGAGGGCGGTGAGAGAGCTCAACTCCTGCCACCCATCACTCCCCGGGTGAGGGATGCCCCAGACTGGGGGTGGCCGGGTGGGAGCTCGTCGCTGCGTGGCCGGTGCGCGGTCCTGGAATCTATTCTCCTGGAGGCTCGCGTTCGCACCTCCTTCGCTATCCCCCTCCCACAGGCTTGCTCTGGGAACCACCTCTGTCTCCGACTCTGGCCGGACCCCTTCGGGGCCAGGGTTCGCAGCCGTGGATGTGCCTGCCTCGTGGCTTGCCCGATTTGCACGGTGACTTGATTACACGCTCGCATTCATGGTCACTTCCGAAGCGCTTTAGTGCCTTCCGTCCCTAAACCGCCAACAACCAGGGCGGCTTCCCCTGCGGTTTGTCAGGCATCTGCAGGTCCCGGGAGGGCCTTCGTCTTACCCGGGATCCACCTCCACTTCATCCACCCCGCCGGCCTCCTCACTCCACCCCTTGCCCTTGAAGAAACCCCTTCCTCCTCGCTGCCTGCCGGGGGTCGGAGTCACTCGGCGGAGCCAGACGCGTGGGGGCTGCGCCGCTGTGCACGCCCGCCTGGTCTTCTGGAGCTGAGGACTCGGCAAACCACGCAGTTGAGGCGAGCCTTGGGCTGCTTAGAGGCGCTGACATCCGAGGAGCCTTTCCTGGGTATGCTGCACCTTCCGGGGGGCCCACCAGGCTGCCAGCAGAGCTGCAGACCGGAAGGAGAGTGAGGGCAGTCAGGAGGAAGGAGACGAGGGCCAGGGAGCTGTGGCTGAGAAAGGGGTAACACGCCTCCTCTCCTTCCTTGCAAAGCGTGAGAGCCAGTGATGTGCAAGCAGAAAGAAACTCAGAAGGCTCGGCGCCTTTTCTGCTACTCATCCCACAGAAGGAACACAATGCTAAAGAAAAGAGCCATGCTTCCCAAACTCCTGGCACCGTGGGTGACGAGAACGCCCTGAAAAGTCTAGGTTTGAGCCAAAGACAGAAACAGGGGTCATAGCTGGTAGTAGGAGTCTAGCTTTCTTGGGAAAAGGAAAGAAAAAAATTACGAGGGTGAAAAGTGCTTGCCATCCTGCAGGACTGAATGATCAACGTTGGGGAGAAGTGAAAGAAGAGGGCATAGAGCAGCTAGGCAGGACCGGGGACTGGGGGAGGGGGCGGCCCAGAGGCCTCCCCACACCTATCTTCTTGGAAGGAGCTGGATGTCGCTGAAGGAAAGTCGGAAAATGAAAAAGGATAACCTTTTCCCTTTCCCCATCCAGGAAATAGCTGAAGGTATTTATATATCTTGGGGAGATTTAGAGTATAAACTCTAAGATCTTTGGTATTTAAGTGTCAACATCGATTTATTTATTTATTGCTGAGCTGACTGTAACTGACTCAATAACAAATCTAATCATGTATTGCACTGGAAAAGAACTATTCTCATTATGTATTTTCTCCAAATGATGGCCCACCATTGCGTTTGAATACCTGCTGTAAATATCAATAATATCAAGTAATTATTCTGCAGTGGAGTAAACTAATTTATTAGCATTAATGTTTATGTGGCTCCTACCCCTTTCCTTTACAAGGGTTGCTTATCACAAATCAAACTACTCGAGCACATTGGTTTAATGAACTTTTTATTCAGGATTTGCTTCAAGAACTTTCATACCCCTTGAATCCCTGAGAGTTGAACTTGAAATTATTTGTGCATCTTCAGCTTGACCTATTTGTCCACCGTGGCTTGTGCAGAGGGCATCAGCGGTGTGGGTGAGAAGGTCTGGTGGGAAGGAAGGCTGCTGGGGAAGGGCAGCCTGAGACCTCCTAAAGCTGGGAATCACAGTTACGGGATTGCCCTGCAGCGAAAAAACTTCGATTTCCAGCAGTGACCAACAAGGCAAAATATTTATTTCTCCACAGCATCTCTTTCTTGGAGACAGAATATAAAAGGGAGAAGGAGAGGTTTGCGAACAGTAGTATCTGAGCTGTTCCCTGGCTTGATTTTGGCTCTCCCGAACTATCTCCCGGCAGCCCACCCAGTCCCCGCCACCCCGACCCTCGAACAAAAGGAATGCTTGAGGGGTTTCAGTGACTTTGCCATAACAAAGGCGCCACCATTTCGGGGCTTGCCCCGCCCCTGGGTGAAGGCAAACAAATTCTTGCACTTGTATTAGGGCTTTTAAGACTATAATTGAACCCGGGGGCGTTTGGGAGAACCGAAAACAGTTCTAGACAGACCTGGGGTTTTATAGCAGTTTTGGCAGTCAACTTCAGCTTGTGCCTGAGCAGACCGGCTGCGGTGGCCCGCCCGCGGGGGACGCCAGGCTGCCTCCCCCAGTTGCACGCAGCCCCTCTCCTAATTAGATCGGTTTCCCCCTAGGTGCCAGGGAGAGGGGGTCCCGGCAGAAAGGTCAGTATGGGGGTATATGCTGTTCTGCATGATCAATGCCTCCCATGTCCTTGAGAGCCAAGCCGAGAGGGTACCAGCAAGTCTGGATCCCATGGGTGTCTGCAGGAGACAAAAACAAATTTCTGAGGAAAGGCTAGGGTGGAGGAAGTCTGTCCCAAAGCGATCAGCAGGGTAGTTCAGAAGGCTGTACCAATGCGGGGTGCCAGGAGGGGCACGCAGCCTGGAAGAGGGTGTGTGGGGGTGCTGCGGTGAAGATGGATGAAGGGAAAGGCTTTTGATGGCAGGAGAAGAGAAAATGCCTGGAGTGGCTAATGCTTTTATTCCCCCAGCAGAGACAGGAGGGGGTGCTCCGATCCCCAAGGCTTTGCACTGTTCCCAGCTTTGTCTGCTCCTGGCCCTCTTGCCTGGAATATACTGGCAGAGTGAAGGTTTGCATGGGGGGTGTGTAGTTGGGGGTGGTCACAGATCTGAGGATCAGATCAAATCTGGGGAAGCTGGGGAGGCAGAACTGCAGCTCCTGGGTTTTGACTTTGCTCTGAGCCTAACTGACTCTTCCGCTTTGCAGGAGGCCCAGCAGCTGAAGGGAGCCCACCCGGCTCAGGGGAAGACCTGACGGGTGCTAAGTCCACCCTGGAAAGCCACGTCCGAGTTGTATTTCTTGAAGAGATTGTGTGGGCAAGGCTAGGACATTGGCCTTGGCGGCTGGTTGCCCATGAACTGTCCTTTCTCAGGAGCTCCACGGCGCGGGGCCATCTCCAGAAAACAGTCTCCAGCATGTCTTTCCTTTTATCCTCAACCCAGAACCCCACGGCAGCTAATGCAAAAGGCCAAAAATGTTCTGGAGGAAGAAAAACAAAGGCAGGAAGTGGCGGCGGCCTGACGGTGCGTGTGTGTCTGTGGAGAAGGGAGGGAGCCTTTTCAATCTCTTCTTGTTGTTTTTCCAAACTTCAAGGTCTAGGCAGCCCTTGCAGGGCCGGGCCCTTTCGCTCCCCAAGCAGCGTTTGGAGATGGCCACCCGGAGAGAAGGATGGCTCCCGAGCCCACCCTGTCAAGCGGAAATGGCTAACGAGGCGATTTGCTCAGCAAAGCAGACCAAGCCTTTGCAAGGCTCTGTTTGATTTGGCCCTAAATGGGGGAGGGGGGAGTTTGAGGGGTTCGGCAGTACCTCCCGGATCCTCCTTGCTGGGGCTGAGTGGGCCCTGGTGGGGATGATTCCTGCGTCCTGCGCTCCACCCACCTTCCCAGGCAAGATACTGGAATAAATTGCGTCCAGGTGCCTCTGCCCAGTACTGCCGCCTCTACTTCTTTCTGTAGCCGAAGGGTGCCTGCTGGCGGTGCCCAGGCGGGGTAGCCTTGGTGCAGTCAGTGCACGCCAGGGCAACGTGAGGCTTTTCCACCGGGGGTTGTCACGCTGGGGGCATTTCCAGCGCTGTCATTTGAGGGGCATGAGCTGAAAGGACTGTCACTTGATAGGCAGCTTAACACCTGCTCACTCCAAGGGAGAAACAGAGCAGTGGGCAGGGAGTAACTCCAGACTCTGGGTTCCCAACCCCATGTGGCACCGCTGCTGGGCTGCCCTCTTTTCTCCTTGGTGCCAACTTGGGCACTGGGACCGGCTCATTGACCCCCAAATCTGAGAATCTGAAGTCCCCAATGCCTGCACTTGCAGCCTCTTGACTGCTCCGCATGTAGTCAATAGTGTGAATGCCAACACCAGGCTGTGCGCTCACCACATTCCCTCCTTAGCTGATCCTGTCTCCCTGCAGCCCCTGCTCACCTGTCTCCCTGTCCTCCTCTTTCCAGCAGAGTTTCCCCTTCTGCAGCCTCCTGCCTTTTCTGATACCCCTCCTAGGCTGAGCAAGAACTGAGGGCACCCAGTCCTCAAGCACAGAAAAGGAGGACTGTTAGGTTCCTGGACCCCCCCCCCCGCCACCACCCCGGCCAGTTTAGGCCTCCACCATGAACTCGATCTCTTACCTCATTCTTCTGAACACTCCATCCCAAGGCTCTACCATGTCCTTTTCCTCTCTCCCCCTCTCTCCCCAATACTCTCTTCTTCTCTTCTTGGGACCTAGCTCCTGGATGGCAGCCAGCCTGGGAGGGGTCAGGCTCACTGGACAAACCAAAACTCACTTGCAAAAATCTATAGTCATTTATCTATGGATCACTTAGGGCACCGATTTTTTTTTTTTTTTTTTTGCCTATTCTTGTTGGACTGAGCCCCTAGCAACCTCAGTCCCTAAATGTCACACCT